CCTTGAGAAATGGGAAATGTACCGGGTCATGAATGTCTGAGAAACTTTACTGCTCATTTCGGCGAGTTGTAAGTCGTTGCTGAGACTGGCGCTGCTCACTGCTGCTGGTAAAACTTCTGGGAATATACCAACAAGTCTAAACTTTCTAACGCTTATGCTCCTATTTTCTCCACAGCTTTATCTCCCCTTTCAATTGCTTCGCTGATAAGCTGCATAACTAGACCCCCCTATCCTCTCGGCCCATCTTTCTCACCCTCTTGGCTTGACGTTTGCACAAACTACCTTTTCACGGGCCTTGATCCCCCTGCCCTACCGACTGTATCAACTAGGCCTGACGTTCTTTTAGCAACGCTTATTTTCTCTTTCCTCCTCAATTTTGGCCTAACACATGCCAGCAAACTTCGCCATAGGCATAGTCGGCGGGACCAAGCGACACCAAAATCATCTCGCCAAGGGACCGTCATTTTATCACCCCACTTCAAATAGGCCAGTCTGTCTCCCTAATCGCATCTTCTATCCCCAGCCTTGTCTCCTGTCCGTCGCCATGACTGCCTATCTAGGACCGTTACACGGGCAAGACTTCGGCCAGGACGCTGGCCAAACAGACCGTCTGGCCGAGTCGCGCCCCGGCTTTGCAACTGGCAGAATGTGGACCAAGGGAAACGCCAAAATAAGTTCGGATCTATCTGCCACTTGGTTTCCTCGATGGTACCACATGTACACACACACACACACACACACACACAATCACGCACACGCACAAACTGGACAGGTTGGCGAGCGAAAGTCAGACAAAGAGAGCGAAAATAAAGTAAGAAATCGCTTTTCCAACCGGCCAACCGGCCGATCCAATAAAGAGTATATTTAGTCCAGCGGTCTGCCAGAAGGCCACAAGACGTTCTAGGCCTATTGACAAGTTGATTCGCCCGACAAGGAAACCAAATGGCCCTAATAGAAATTCCCCATTTATGCACATCTGTATGTCGCTGTATGTCATTCATGTGAGTGTGTCCTCTGACCGAGTACCTGTATGTATATGTCTGTGTGTGTGTGTGTGTATGTGGATATATATGCATGTTGGATACAGCAAAAGGATTGCAGACAGGAGAGAATGACTGAGCTCGGTCTGGCAAGGCAGGGCACGAATCAATTTGCATCAGATCGCCTCAGCGACGGTGTACTCTCCCTTGCAGTAGACATTCCGTGCCCCTTTCCTGCTCGCCTCCCTAGTCCCAACCCCTTGTACGACCTTTCATCTCTCCCTACTTCGGTCGGCCGCCATTGACCCTCGTGCCCAATAGGGCTCTTAGCCTTCGGCTCCTAACCTGGCCGTTTCTTCAGGCCCGTGGCCGACACTCTGAACCCGGGAGAGAATGTGCTGGCCGTAAAATGAGGGTAAATGATAATGGTTGTTTGTGCCATCGTGTATGCTGACAGACAGGCCTGATGTTGAGCCGGAGATTCTATCAATGCTGGCATGCGTGCATAGGACGGACAGGAGGAGAGAATTGGGTGGAGTGGAGTGAGGTGTGGTGTGGTGATTGGGTTGTGTTGTGTTGTGTTGTGTGGTGTTGTGTTGTGTTGTGTTGTGTTGTGTTGGGGTGGGGTGGAGAGGGTAAGGCGAAAGACGACGCGATAAAGCAAGGACAATTTTTGAGCGCCCAGGTGATGTGGCCAGGACTAGAGACAGGACTCGTCCAAGTGGACGGACGCAAGTTGGCAACAGCTGAATTGGCAAAGCGGGAAAGAGACCGGAACGCGTCGGCGGTCGGCAACTGTCCAACTAGCCAGTCATCTCAACCACTCAGACTGGCTCTGATTATAGGTCCATCAAGTTTGCGTGCCGACATTAAATCTGCGAGCAGATCAGCACATCTTCCCACCCCGTACGGACGTGAGGATTCCCCGTGGATCTCTACAAAGTCTGTGTGCTTGTGTGATTGTCCATTTGTCTGTTTGAGTGTGCATTAATGCCAACTACTGGACTTGGTGCACAAACACCGGCAATTAGGTGATCCTAACTTAGCA